GAAAAAATAAAACAAAGTTATGTCAGTTATCATAGTTAGTGTTGTCTTTTGGATGTGTGTGTGGTCATGTGTGCATCTAATTTCTATTTCATACATTTTCTCTCTCTCTCTCTCTCTCTCTCTCTCTCTCCCTCTATATATATATATATATATATATATATATATATATATATATATATATATATATATATATATATATATATATATATATATATATATGCATACATATATATATATATATATATATATATATATATATATATATATATATATATATATATATGTACACACACACACACACACACACACACACACACATATATATATAGAGAGAGAGAGAGAGAGAGAGAGAGAGAGAGAGAGAGAGAGAGATTCATCAATCATTGATCAACTTGATCGAGTAATACAGCAAGAAAATAGAAGTCACGTTTAAAAAAACGAACAAGAGAAGCGAGAGAGAGAGAGAGAGAGAGAGAGAGAGAGAGAGAGAGAGAGAGAGAGAGAGAGAGAGAGAGAGAGAGAGAGAGAGAGAGAGTGAGAGAGAGGGAGAAAGGAAAAGAGATAGAACTTAAGCGGGAATAGATAGACGAAGAAATATGGATAAACCAGCAAACACGAAGAAGAAGCAGAAAGCAGGAGGGAATGGGAAAGAAAGAGAGAAAGGAAAAAGTAGAGAGAAAGAGAAGAGAGAAAAGAAAAATGATGGGGAGCCAAATCCAGAGAGAGTAAAAGAGAAAGAGAAAGAGATAGAGACAGTGAAAGACCAAAATCTTATGAGAAATTAAAAGATAAAAGAGAGAGGCAGAAAGAGTGACAAAGTCTAAATCAGAGAGAGAGAGAGAGAGAGAGAGAGAGAGAGAGAGAGAGAGAGAGAGAGAGAGAGAGAGAGAGACAGATACAGAAAGAGAGAAAGAGAGAGAGAGACAGAGAAAGAGACAGACAGAGAAAAAGAGAGACACAGAGACAGAGAGATAGAGAAAGAGAGATAGAGAAAAGAACGAGCTGTATGTCTCCTTTATCCCCCCCACTACCCACTACCCACACCCCCTGATCCCACCCACACCCCCTAACCCCCCAACCCAACCCCCACCTCCTCCTCCTCCGGATCGGCCGAGATCGTAACGACATGATCAGAAGTTAGGAGAAACTTTGCGCACATTCCAGAGTCTGGATTCTTTCCAAAAGATCTTGCCCGGCGCTTCTCAGATGGCAAGAAGCCAAGACGCCGGGCCGGGCCTCTCCGAAGGGGGCGCGTAATGTTTCTTGGGAGGAAACCCTAATGCCGGATGAGGAAAGGGGAAGGGAGGGAGGGAGGGAGGGGATGGGGAATGGGGGGATGGGGGTAGGGAAGGGGGAAGGGGGGATAGGGAGGGAGGGTGGGGGGATGGGGGGATAGGGAGGGAGAAGGGATGGGGGAAAGGGGGAGGGGGATAGGGAGGGAGGGGCAGGGAGGGGGAAAGGGGGGATGGGGAGGGAGGGAGGTGGGAAAGGGGCAGGGGAAGGGGGATGGGGAGAAAGGGAGGGAGGGGAATGGGAAAAGGGGATAGGGGGGAGGGAGGGAGGGGAAGGGGAAAAGGGGATAGGGGGGGAGGGAGGGGAAGGGGGATAGGGTGGGGACGGAGGAAGGGAGGAGGGAGGGAGGGAAGGGGGTAGGGAGGGAGGGGGGAAGGGTGGGAAGGAGAGGGAAGGGGCAGGGAGGGAAGGAGAAGGGGATGGGGAGAGGGGTAAATGGAGGAAAAGGGATGCGTGGGAAGGGGAGAGGATGGGGCAAATGGAGGAAAAGAGAGGGAGAAGGAAGGAAAAGGGGAAGGGGAGGAGGACGAGGGGGGTGAAGGTAAAGGAGGAAAGGGAGAGAGAGGGACAGGGCGACGAGGAAGATTGAATGGAGAAAGGGAGAGGGAGAAAGAAAAGGAGAGAGAAGGTAAGAGATAAATATAGAGGGGGAGGGGAGAGGGGATGGGGTAACAAGATAAAAGAAAGAGGAAAAAAAAGGGAAGAAAGGAGAAATATGAAGGATCAGTGTAAAAGGGAAAGGGGAGAGATAGTAAGGGGGCAAGAGAGGGGAGGAGGAGAAAGGGAAGGAGAGAGAAGACATGAAGGCAAATAAGGAGGAGAAGAGAGGCCGAGGGAAAGGGAAGACATAGAGAGATAGAGAAGAAGGGCAGAGGGAAGAAAAGAATGAAGGAAGAGAGAAGGGAAAGAGTGAAAGGGAAATAGCGATGACAGAGGAAGGAGAGAGAAGAATAAAAAAAGAGAAAAGGAAGGGAAAGGGTAAGAGAGATAACAAGGGAAGAAGGTAACAAACAAAGAGAAAAGGAGGAAACACAAGAGAAAGAGATAGGAAAGGAAGAGGAAGAAAGGAAAAGCATAGAATAAGCATCGGGGATACAAAATGGAGAACCCAGAAAGAGGGAAAAAGAAGAGAAGGAAAATGAGGAAAAGACAAAGACAAAGAGAAAGAGAGGAAGAGGAAGAGGAAGAGGAAGACATGTATAGACAATCCTTCCCCAATTTACATAGTAGAATCCTTCCTCCTTCTTCTCTCTTCTGTATACTCTTTTGAAGGGGAAGGCAGAGGGGGAGAGGGAGGAGGAGAGGGAGGAGGAGGGGGAAGGGGGGGTGGGCTGGGTTTGTAGGAGTATGAAGGAAGGGAAATAAAGAAATAAATAAAGAGGGAGAGAGAAAGAGAAAGAAAGAGAGAGGGGGGAGAGAGGGAGAAATAAATAGAGAGAGAGAGAGAGAGAGAGAGAGAGAGAGAGAGAGAGAGAGAGAGAGAGAGAGAGAGAGAGAGAGAGAGAGAGAGAGAGAGAAAGAGAGAGAGAGAGAGAGAAATATATAATAAAAGAAAGAAACAACGAGAAAAAGGAGACACAGAAGCTTCATCCGTATAATTCTTGATCACTGTTCTTGGTGCAATGTCCTTTTTGTGTGCATATCAATATCCCTATGTGTCTAACTTTCTATATTTCTGTGTGATGATTTCCAATTAACTTTTACTACATCTTTACCTTTCCATCTATCTATCTATCTATCTATCTATCTCCTCCTCCCTCTTCGCCCTTTACTCTATCCCTCCCTCCTCCCTCTCTCCCTCCCCCATCCAACACCTCTCCCTTCCCCCTCCCCCCACTCCTTCCTCTGTCCCTCTTCCTTTCCCCTTATTCCTCTCCCCTTCTCCTTACGTTTCCCGTCCCCCCTCTTCCCCCTCCCCCATCTCCTCCATTCACCCCCTTTCCCCCTTTTCCCCTCCCCCTCTCCCCCTTCTTCCCTCCCCTTCTCCCCCCTTCTCCCATCCCCTATCCCCCCCTTCTCCCATCTCCTATCCCCCCCTTCCCTTCTCTCCCCCTCTCCCCTATCCCCCCTTCTCCCATCCACCCCATCCCACCCCCCTTCCCCTTCTCTCCCCCTCTCCCATCCCCCCCTCCTCCTCTCTTCCAAAAACCCCACCCCCCCTCAAAAAAAAAAAAAAAAAAAAAAAAAAATCATCTTCCTCAAAAGCATAATTACTTTCCGTTTTATTCCAAGCCGTTTGCATATATTTATCGCGTAATGAGGCCCCAGGAAAGCCCAGTCGGCTATTAAGCTTTTAATCATTGGTAGTCAATATCCGGAGCTCATTTTGGTGATCTCTCTTCTCGGTGGGAAGTGGGGGGGTGACGGGGTGGGGGGGTGGGGGTGGGGGGTGGGGGGTTGAAGGGGGACGTGCCAAAGAAGAGGATTTATTTTATATTATTTTTTTTAAAGATTTTATATTATTGTTTTTATTATTAATATCATTATTTTTTTCAGATTTTTAGGGGGGGGGATTCTTATTCTTTCTTGCCCCCCTTCCCCCATTTTTATTGTTATCTTCCTTTTTCTTCCTTTCTTCTTATTCCATTTTTTCAAAAATCTGTCTTTCGTATTTTTGTGTTATGTTTTCTTTTTTTTCCCTTTTTTCTTCGATTTCTTCTATAATGATTTTTTTTCGTCTTTCTTCTCTTGTTTCCTTGTCTTTGATTTTTGTTTTCTTTTTTTTCTGTTAAGCCTCTAACATTTTCCTTATTTTTCTATTTTTTTTCTGCCCTTTTTGTTTTCTTTATTTTCTTTATTTTCTTTTTTTCAGTTTTCAGTTAAGCCTTTAACATTTTCCTTATTTTTCTATTTTCCTTATTTTTCGTTTTTCTCTCTCTCTTTTCTCCTTTATTGTTATTCCTTCTTCTTTAAAAATTATCTTGGTCAGATAAGCAGGAAGATTGGAAGGGAAGAAAAAGAAGAAAGAAAGGGAGCAAGAAGCCGAAAGCAAGATAATAATAAAAATAGATGAAATAATAAATAAATGAATGAATAGATAAAGAGAGAGTGAAAAGAGAGAGATGAGCACAAATGAGAGAAAAGAGGAAAAAGAGAAAGAGAGAGAGAGAGAGAGAGAAGAGGGGGGAGAGAGATAGATAGATAGATAATTAGAAGAGAGGAGGAGAAGAGAGAGGAGAGAGGAGAAAAAGAGAGAATGAGAGAAAAAGAAGAAAGAAGCAGGGACGAAAAAAAAAAATAAATAAAAACAAAACAAAACGAATAGATAAAAGGCAAAAAGAAAAAAAAGTAGACGAAATACCCAGAAAAAAAAACAAGACAGAGAAGAATTACCCTTAAAAAAAGGATAATAATAATAAAATAAATAAATAAAAAAACAAAAAAAAGATAAAATAACATAATAATAAATACGAAAAAAAAACGAAAGAAGGAGAAAGAAGAATAGAAAAGAACAAACCCAGGTAAGAGGTAAGGGGTAGGGGGGGTAGGGGGTAGGGAAGAGCCAAGAAAGATGGAGAGAGGCGGGGGGGGGGGGGTGAGGATAGGGGATAGAGGGGGCGATGATGGTAGGGGATAGGGGGGGGAGGGGGAGGAGGATGAGGGTAGGGGATTAGGGGGGTATGATGGTAGGGAATAGGGGGGGGGGGGGATGATGGTAGGGGATAGCAGGGTATCAGCGTCAGGAATAGGGGAGGGGGGGGATGAAG